TACCTAAACTTGCCTGAGGTCCAACTTACCGTTCTGGAGTTAGATTAGTATAGTCCGTGGCGCGAAGCGGCACACCTTTAATTTACATGCGAAATAACTTACTCCCAGCGGCCGCGGAAAGCAACTTCGATTACATTTTTTCACTTAGCACTTACTTCTAAAAATTTCCTTATCTGCCTATCCTACTTCCCCACCCCCCAAAACTTTTTAAACACCGTTTTTGCAGGACAAAATGCTGGGACAAGGGGTATATGAGTGGACCTATATAAGCTACTTTTGCCTCAGTTTCTAACTAAACTAAAACTAAAATGAAACTAATAAACAAAACAATAAACTAAAAAATAACCAAAAATCTAATAAACTAGAGGTAACCACAGAATTAGGGACTGGGGGTATCTATGGTGGACGACTAACTTAACTTTCACCATCTGACCAATATAGTCGTTCTGGTGCGTTCTGATTTATATAAGGGTTATCTTTGAATCTGTGAAGGCTAATGGGGAAAATAAGGTTCAATTGTGCTTTATTCTTTTTCTGAACCCACTTCCTGCAGCAGAGCGAACTTAATTCGTTAGCCCAACCCTAACCGTTCTTTATGAAAAGCTTCTCATCTGCCAGTAAAATAGGATACAACGGAATCTGACAGAATTGTCCGCTAAACAAGTGTCTTCGTCTCAAAAAGCAGCCACCTACATGTAGACCGTGAATGTGAAAATTTTAAAACAGAACGTATAGGCGTATGTATATAAGGCTGATTAAGGCTAGCAAAATCGTTTAAGCATTACAGATTGGTGGCGTGGATCCAGGGGGCAGATCGATAGTTTTTGAGGAGAAGGAAACGATTAACGTGCTTCGAGGCCTCACAACGAAGCTAAATCTGGCGTGCGAAATATTATGTAGAGGTAGTTTTCATAACGAAAATGCATGAACAAATCCTCTTCGTGTCCGACCATGCAGCCAATGGTGGAACTGGCAACAATCACCTGCCAGTGTTTTTTGTACTTCAGTTCCAACTGGTCTTTCAGGTACTTGGCCATATCCTGCTCCCGCTCAAATTTCCGCGGACAGTTCTTTACGAGGCGGACGGACTCCTCCAGGACGCCCGGTTGTACCTGTCCCCTATGCAGGATATCCACGCCATCCATGAGATTATACTTCTTCTCCGGTATTGGTGCCAACTTTATCGGAGGAGGAGCGCTGTGCTGTACCTGCTGCAGGACTGGCTGCGGTATCTGACTCAGTCTCCTCTTTTCTTGGACCTTTTCTCTGAAAGGAGGGAGTAAAAGGGCGGGCAGTGGGGTGTAATCAAATCCCTGAGCAAACTGATATTTTGGAGCCTATATAAAGCTGCTTTTATGAGTGAACATTTACTGATCGAGGTTAGCCTGTAGTGACCAGCTCCATACGAAGTGCACTTGCGAACGCTTGTCGTGACTAGCTCAGGTCGAAGTGCACTTCTGAGCGCTTCCTGCTTCCGGCCTCTGGAACAGCCAATCACAGGCCGACTCACAGAGGACCTCATGTGACGACTGCTAATCAGACATCACTTTAGTCACCGTCCGCTGTCTTACGGTTGTGCGCTTGTTTGACAGTCGATTTCCTATAGCCTATTTTCCGCCTCCTACTCTACAGAATAAACTCTTCCTACTACCCCTGGCCTTCTCATGACTTCTCTCCTCCTAAGGAACCGGGCCTGAAGATCGCATTTGCGAGGGTTTAATTCCCTCCCTCCCCCCCTGCGATAAGCCTGCCTCTTACCCCCTATTACAGATCGTTTTCATTTTCCCCATTCGCCTACTAGCATAAAATTATATTGCAAATTATCCGACATGGTAACCTTAGTCTGCATGATTTTTGTTATTTCCTGTCCTTTCCGTAACCTTTTCACCAACCTTTTAGGTTAGTAAAACAATTACAAATGACTTTAATTTCTTTCTTATTGCATAGTTGTCATGAATTAGCCACACATTAACCTTTTAACCTCGAAATCCCTAAGCCATGTGGGCTAGGACACTTTTTCCATTGGGCGGTCCTGTGATAAATCCCTACCCGCCATATTGTCAGCCTACGAACATGGGGTCTCTTTCGCTGATGTCTTTAACCCAACTTTGTCTTGGTAAGCGCCAAATCCTAGATGTAAACACTATCTCCTCCGCACGTTTTCATCCAAATGGGTTAAAAGTCCCTTATTATATTAATTAGCCCATAAGAGTAGGTTGTGTTCTGGATCTAAGCCCCCTCCCATCCCAGAATTCTGACTTACGGCACCAGAAGCAATAGGAGTTTGATGGGTGGGCAGTGAACAGAAGGTGTCAAATAAGTTTAACAAGTGATATAAGTTGGTTGAATCTGTTTACCTCGACCGCTATATAGCAACGAAATAGAGCATGTTAACTGATTAACAAAGTAAGCAACAAACAACTCTCAGTTAACTAAACCGCCACACAGAAACCCGTGGCAACTCAGGAGCAAATGGGATAAATAGCTAATAGGAAGAAAGAGTACTTTGTGTCATATACACTACCTGCGAAAGGCAGCCGCGAGTTTATTTGATTGACATCAAAACCGGAGAGTGAATACCGACACAAACAAATGAGCAAGGAAGCTACCGAGGAGTGTGAGTAACAGTGCACATATCTATATTTCAAAGAATATCCATGCATATGAAGACAGGTTATAACCTAGGTAATGAGTTTAAATGGGTTTATAAATAAAGTGAAAAGCAGTCTTTTCTAATTCTTCCTTTTAATTTAGAGGCTTACTGTTGCAGCCAACAGGCGAAGGGGACAATTGCAGGGAGAATGTACATATGACTACATCCGAAGAGAAAACTTCAACCATTAACGCGGAAGAGGTGGTGCAATACGACAAAGTTTAACAGCTGTTGGACGAGCCGTTCCACAGTCAACTTACAACTTTCCTCTTTTTGATTACAACTCGCATCAGACCTCCTACCCAACCTGCCTTGACGGGAATTTCATAGATAACTTTGTAAAGCGAATCTTCCTTGCTTTGTTTGATGACGAAACCAGTCTTAACGTCAACTATAACTATTGATGTCCAAAGTTTACGAGATCACATTGGGTACGTCTGCCCCATTATCTACTTGAATGCAGATACTTAGAGTGTTGTAACTCGTGGAATACGAACGGCACTTCAACGTTGTCAGACCTTGAGAATGCTCTGGCCAAGCGACTTAAAAGGGCGTTAGATACCTACGGCCAGCGGCTATCAAAACAGTAGCAGAATCAGCGACTGACTAAGAAGTCAACTTCCAACTCCTTAAAGTACTGCTGGCTTCTAGAGGACAATGGCGGACCGTCTGCTAGTGCGCAACTTCCAAGTTGTTGGAGGAAGACAGACGTTTGTAGATATTTTTTATCGTCTATAATATTATTTGATATAAAACGCCTTCGCAGTACACTACACTGCAAGTCTAGGGGGGATAAAACGTAATAAATTGGCCTTTCGTTAAGAAGACAAATCTAGTGCCGGATCGCCGATTGCCTAGTATGGCGTTAGATGCCGATGTGGATGGTTCGGCCTTGATGCCAAGGACCTGAAGCAAGCACGGTAATGTTTCATCTCCCATACAGCACAGACCTGTCGCATTTAACTTCACATTGCAAGGTTGCTTGATCTGAGGTCGAGCTTAGATAACTGCCTCATTATTTGGTATATGGGTAGCATATCCGAGGCAAAAGTGTGCAGTCGAGAGGTACGGGAATTAGAAAAAGTCTTTGACCATTAATAAAGGTTTCTGGATGGACGGTGTGATTTCCTTCGGTAAACCTAAGGGGGCATGCAATCGCTGTAGAAATAATCAAATGGTCGCATGATAACTAAGCGAGTCAAAGCAGAACACTGTAACTACGCCGTTGAACGGTACACAAAGTAGGTAGAAGTCCTTGCCGATTAGCGAAGGTTTCCGTGTGGGGAGTGCAATGGGCTTAAGATAATTAAACTGGCGAAGCGGTAGGACAAATTGCACCAACAGTCAGCAATGAGATGCAATGCGGTGAGTTGAATTATAGAGAAATGCGTATGAGATAAAATAACTAGGCATAACTACGCCTGTCCGTATAAACTAAGCAACGCGAACTATCATAAATGTATACTTGGACACAGTCAACTGGAAGAATAGTGGTATTCCTTTAACGTTTGTTGATGGCCTAACTGTGCATATTTCATGTGAGAAAAAACCATGGTTCAGGACTGCTTACGTAAATTTTGATGGTGTATCTCATTAAACATTAACCGAAATTTTGAAATGTGATGTAAGCACGCAATTCTTAATTGGTAATCGCCTTCTATTATCGAGTTTAAAGCTTCAATATCCCATAAACGTTTCAGTCAGATCAGGGTTCCAGTTTCTATCCAGCTGTTGAAGAACACCACAAGCTCTTAAAATGACTACTTAAGCAACATGATATTAGTTATTTAATTTTCGTGCCTTGATAAATTCACATACATTTTATAGAACGAATGCGCAGGCCTATCCATTTCTATACATTTTGTGATAAATTACGACTATTTTTGCTTTCCTTCTTTCGAAGGTTATGCTTTCCAGTTTTAGATGAGACTTTCAATTCCTGGAAATTGTAAACCTGGCCCGTCGTTTTAGTACTGTTTTGAGTTTTTTAGACAGCGATTTATATAAATTCTGTCTAAGGAGCATCATACGTTCCCCTATAGTTACTGACCATATAGTGCACTCAATAAGTACTATTAATACGTCACAAATTATTATGATGTTTGAAAAAAATTTATAGTCTTAAATGCTTCATACTCACAAATATTTAAAAATGTGGGACATCTTTTTACAGTAATATTTTACAAGATAATATAGCGAAAGTTTATGGAAAGAAGATTTTATGTCTGCTTTCTATAATGTATGTTTATATTTACGAGGGCATCGATAATAATTTTTTAATGTGTTTTCTTAGCAGTTATATTGTATATAATGCCCTTTCTGCAAGTGACCCGAAACAACCTGCACTCAATAACCGGCCTTATTGGTTTTTCAGGTGGCCTACAGGGATACTTTTACCAGGTCTCCTATTTCAAAATCCTGGTTGATGTTCTGTGATATGTGTCACTCAATGGGTTTTGAATTAAAGTTTACATAGAAACGTATAATCGTAACTCTAACAAACATATCACCTTCTGAGGATTGTCGAGAAACAGGAACGCCGAGGACGCGCTTTCTGCAAGATGGTTTGAACCAGTAAACGTCAACTTTGCATAGGACTCTCGATATCATTTTTAGGGATTTTTTGCTAGCGTGTGGGCAAAGTTTGCTTAATCCGTCTACTGATTACTTGCATTAAGAAAGGTCAAAATGGTGATATTTCGAGTTTTGTGACCTAAATGCGTGAGGTACATGCATTCACTTAAAAAAGCTCTGAATATAATTAAGTATAAATGAATATGAATTATATAAATAAATACTACAATATAATGAATAATGGTAAATACGAATAGAATGAACAATAATGTAAATGGATCCAAACTGAAATACTTACACATATTGCTTTTGCATGCTGACACCAAGCGTGGTGCACACCTCTTCCATCGTAATAATGCCCGAATTTTCCATGTCAAACCAAGTGAACCATTTCTGTTTTAACAAAAGGAAATTTATTTGGTATTTTTTTTATTGCTTAAAGAATATCAATGTGTCGTTAAAAAATTAGTCTGAATATTCCTAAGCATAGGTGGCTAGATAAGAGTTCACAGCTCCACGAAAAAAGAGCGTTTGATCAAAACTGCCTGTCACCTAACTGAATGCGATTCAAATCTCTACCAAAGCCCAGCATTATTGGCTACCTTGAGCAGCTATGTAATAAGTTTCCATTTCAGTCTTCCTCAACCTTCGCGTTCATTCGATCATAAACTGCACGTAAACAGATTGGCACTTTTTTAGTCAGGTTTACAAAAGAAGGCAAAAGAAAGCATTAAATGCCCATTGAAGGCGATATTTCTCTTGATAGGCTGGAGACGAGAATCATCGGTAGAATTATTAAGATTACATCTGTATTTTGGACAGACAGGAAATTGTGATGGTCTGGTCCGTGATGACATTCACCGATAATAACCACACTATACCAGACTTCCATTTCAAATCACTTAAGATGAATACACGCTTAAACTGATACAGTTTTAATCCCTAATTTATAGGCGACGAAAATATAACGAATAGATTTTTAAGTTATGAAAACGCTTACACAAATATCTCTATTGAAGAAGTCTCAATATCCCTTTTGCCTTATCTCAGACACGGGATTTGCCTGGTAATCCGAATCCCTCTAAACAAGCACATCTTTTCTTATTTGATATAAACAAAGTTTATTTATCATTACGTCCTTTATGGTCGACTTTTCCGAACGATTCAGCTTGATACTATCTTCAAAAATTGCAATTATTATCATTTGGTTACATTGCCACCCATGTTTATGTTTCAAGAATCTCGTGAAAGGTAACCCGCTCTATACTTAAAAATCAGTTGGGGACCTTTCCACAAACTTGGTAATTGAAAATGCAGCATTGACATTTCCTATGATGCAGAATACTCTAATTTTCTTCAGGTATGTGACCTCTGAACTGTGCCATCAATTAGTAAATATAAGTTCATCTATATTTCGGCTAGTCCAAGATATCTCTGATTAGGGGTCCTGCAAACTTCGAAGATGCTAATGTGGAGTAGAGAACGATTAAAAATCTTTAATTTAAGTCTTTTAAAGCTGCCCTAAAACGTCTATGGTACTGATAATTAAAACTAATGTCACAATCATAGCTTTATTTCCATTGGATGCTGTTTTCATGTTAAGTAATTACCCCCTTAGTCATAAACTTCCATTTTGTGTTTTTGATCTGTTCACAGGTTAAACCATAATCCTCGATGAACTAGCAGGGAACCATTGGTGTTAACGGCGGGGAAGAAAACGCAATAAGCACAGAAAATGAGAACTCTACTTACTTCCACCGTGTCCGGGTCCATGTGATGCTTGTCAACGTAATCCTGCAACTCCTGTCTGGTTATGTAACCATAATGATTCACATCTATAGCCTGGAATTCGGCCGAAATGTTCGATAAATTATGCATTGACTGCATTTTCTAGGCTGTTCCTGAAAACTGTCCTTGTTTGCGTGTTTTTGCCCTCACACCCAGAATCCTCTGCACTGTGCTGCCGTTAAGACAAAACCCACACCTTCTGCCTGCCTGTGACCTGGTGTGATTGAAATACAGTGCTGTGTCATC